AGTACTGATCAATGCGGCTACTCTGCCCTTTCTTTGCCACACACTTCTTCTTTCCCTGATCAGTTCTGAGGCCTTTTAGTGATGTTATTTTCTGCCAGCCACAAGGACAAACCTGAAGCATCTTGTTCTCAACTGTGCTACTTTTATCCTATACAGATGCACTTGCCTTGCCCTGAGTGCTGCTAATTCTAGCTCTGGTGGATAGGTCCGTGCCCCTATCCTTCACTGAGTCACAGATCCAATGCATAGTCGTGTCCGTTCCAGTGTCTGTTACCGTGTAATCCACCTGTGAGTCATTTTCCACCCCGGCTCTCGCTGACTCTGAGTCACAGATCCAATGCATAGTCGTGTCCGTTCCAGTGTCTGTTACCGTGTAATCCACCTGTGAGTCATTTTCCACCCCAGCTCTCGCTGACTCTTGGGGTATTTTCCCTATGTTGGCTGTAGCTAATTTTGGTTGTAGCAAGGCTGCTAGGCCTCACCACTGCTACCATGGGTTGCTAGCCCATGCCAGCACCTTTGGGGTCTTTTCCCTCCTGTCAGCTGTCTTTCCAAGCGGTCACATGGTCTTTCCCTTGTTGTCAGCTGCCCTATTCACAGCAGTCACTAGCTGGGCTAATTCTGAATTCAAATAAACACAAGAAGTTTGTGCTCTAATAAAAAAAAAAAGGGATCAGCACTCAGTGAATAATCCTCCTAAGCCCTATGATAAGCTATTATGGCAAGGCTTAACTATACAGACCAGTGAGCAGCGATAACTAACATGTCTTTGGGGTCATTGGGTGGGAACTAAATTTATTATGTTTAGTAAGGACAGACAGACATCATGGAGGAGGGATCTCTCCTCAGTTGCTCTTCCTGGGGTTTCTAATAATTATATTATGATACAGATCACAGACAGAAACTGATGCAGCTGAAAGTGCTTGCCAGTATATTGCAATTATCTGCAGAAGCCTTCACCTCTCAGAGAGGAGTTTGCAGGTATATCTGAAGATCTGTCAAAAGCAGTATTGCGCTAATCCTGCAACTGGCGGTCGAAAGTGAATGGAGGCAGATGTATTCAATTTAAATCCCCTGCTCCTTCCCGCCCACTTTCCCTCCACTCTCCAATACCCCTATTCCACCAGATTAGCTCTGGATCTTTAAACAGTTCCATTCAAGATTCTTTGAACCTTGGTCCTATCTAGCGAACAAGCCTGAGTTTCCACCAGTTTTAAGCAGAACCATTGTAAACAAGAATGTGTCATCAACGGAGGATGCTGCATAATGCACAACAAAAAATTAAAAAGTACAAGCAAAATCGCAGGGATCAACTATTATTGAATCCACTGCATGCTATTTCTCCAATGATTTCTCACCTCTGTATTGTTGCCTTCTCCATCCTCTCTTTCAAACCAGTAGAGTATGACTTGCATACTGATGTCATCATGGTTAACACTTTTGTTCAAGAAAAACCTGCTATTTTTTGGTTACAGCTAAGAACCAACTTTCAAGTGCTGAACCAATTTAGTTTTGGTTGAAATGTTCTGAATGGTTCAAAATTAAAGGACAACTTCGGTATTTTTCAACCTGGGCCCTATTTCCCCATGTGTATGTGTGTGTATCATTCATAGGTACAACTCTCTCTTCTAAAATTGGTTCAGTATTGAGGGAGGCGGATGCAACTGGAACCGCGAAACGAGCTAAAACGGTAACGGGGGCAAATGCCTCCTGTATAAATTTGTGCATTAAAAGTGCTTTTTTTTGCCACTGACCGGTTCAGATCACCAGTGCTATGAGTGCTATGAGTGGAGTCAGCTGTTAGTCAGTGTTGGAGCAGAGAGGGGGAGGGCTGCCCCGCTTGGTACTGTAAGTGAGTATGTGTGTATGAAGTGTGTGTTTTTTCTCCACTGACTGGTTCAGATCTCCAGTGCTATCTCTGTAAATAGCATACTAGCCTTTCCCTTACCTCTGGGCTGTGTGATGTCACGAGCTTTGCTCCACTGTGTCTGTAGCTCTCTCTACTCGTGGGACAGCCGTTTTCTTGAGGAAGAGGTGTTTTGGGATTGGATGTCTTCTCTTCTTCGGCTGGCAGTAGTCATCTTGGGAGAAGTGAGCACTGCAGACCCGATGGTCTGCAAGGCGCAGTGTCTGGACAGGAGTGTTAGCATCCATTTGTAGCACAACTCGCCACAACTTCAGCATCTCGCCGTCCAACAAAGGTAGCCTGTGAAAGCTGTACGGGGTGTTGCACGACATCTTGTTCTTGCGTTCGGGAAAAAGGCCCGTTTATTTGAGCACTCCAAAAACTCCTGTAACACTCCAGGGGGTAGCACGTAAAAGACTCCGTCCCAAACTCTGACTCTTCTAGCGTAACACACACACGTCATACACACATACTCACTTGCAGTACCCAGCGGGGCAGCCCTCCCCCTCTCTGCTCCAACACTGACTGACAGCTGACTCCACTCATTCACACTCACCACTGCCCCAGGGCTGCTACAACATGCTATCTACAGAGATAGCACTGGCGATCTGAACCGGTCAGTGGCGAAAAAAAGCACTTTTATACGGGACGCATTTGCCCCCGTTACCATTTTAGCTTGTTTCGCGCCTCAATAGACCTTTTACACACTTCCGCATTTTTTGACCGGAAATACGTAGACGACATGTAAAGCAACTTCCGCTTTCTATGGAGAATGGCGGAAGCAAGAAACAAAAGTTTCTGCAGTGTACCAGGCTGTTCTTGCTCTGCCCAAAAACAGCCGTATCTTTCTTTTCATTCTGTCCCGGTTGACAGCGATGTTAGAAGCAAATGGAGTCAGGCGATCCGGCAGGAGGAAGGACCGAATTTCGTCATTAAGAAGGGGAGCACGTATGTCTGTAGCAGACACTTCACGTCTGAGGATTACATCTTGGGCTGCAGTGTTAGCCGCTTAATACCTGGGGCTGTTCCCAGTCTTTTCCCTTAGAACAACTTTACATCTCATCCAAAAAGAGAGTCTGTTTATGAGAGATCCAACAAGCGGCTGTCTGTGCTGTCTTTGACGGCCCAGAACAACGAAATAGCGACGAAGGTGGCGAAACTCGACCACGACTATGCAACGCCGCCCCCACCAGGTGAAAGATTCTACCTCGAGTATGCCAGAATGTGTTATGTTGTGCTGTGTGATGTTGTGTGGTGTTGTGTTGTGTTAAACTTGATTACAGACTCAGGTCCATATACAAGACACATAGTACAAAACCAGACAACACAATACCTGTGATAAAAGATGATGAGAGCTAAAAGTTCATATTTAATAACAATCATCATAACAGATTATTAGATGACATTACAGCTACTGAATACTTAGGTATTATCTCACTGTAGGAATGAAGGGCTGAATTAGTTTCTGTCTTTCTTTTCAATCACTTTAGGTGTTCGTGATGAGGCAGTGGGTTATATCCAGGACTTGGAAGCCAAGCTGAAGGAGGTAGCCTTACCATCCCCTGCCCTCTTCAGCCGATATTGTGCGTCCGACGACCAGATACGATTTTACACAAAATTTCCATCTGAACGTGTGTTTAAGATCTTCTGGGAGTCCATTGCACCATCTGCTTCCTGATTGGCCTACTGGAGCAAGGCAAAGAGGATAGGTCAATCAGACATCACACCCAGCCCCTCTCGTAGGATGCCATTAATCGATGAGTTTCTAATGTACTCTATGCGAGCAGCGGTTGGGATGAAAGAGCAGCTCATTGCTGACATGTTTGAGGTCAGTGTAGCCACCGTGAGTCGAGTCACCATCACCTGGGCCAACTGTCTCTTCCTGATGCTGGGGTCACTTTCTCTCTGGGTGCGCATGGACAAGGTGAAGTCTGTCATGCCAGCAAAATTTAAGATGCACTGTCCCAATGTCTGTGTGATACTGGACTGCACTGAAATTGCTGTGGCGACTGCCTCTTCACTAACATTGCAATCAGAAATGTTCTTCCACTACAAAATCAGGACGACCGTGAAGGGACTGATCGGAGTCGCTCCCAATGGTTTGGTAACGTTTATCTTGCTCCTGTACACTGGAAGCATCTCTGACAAGGAGATGACAAAGATCAGTGGAATCCTTCCCTTACTTGAGCCAGGTAACGAAGTGATGGCTGACAAAGGCTTTCTCATTGAAGATCTACTTTCTAATGTTGGAGCAAAACTCATCATTCCACCCTTCAAGCGTTCAGCTCAATTTACAAGAGAGGAAACCGAGAAAACACAAGCCATCGCCCGTCTCAGGATAGTAGTTGAGAGGGTAATAGGCAGAGTTAAGTCCAACCACATCTGGGACTCATCTGCACCGCTCACTCTGATGGGCACTGTCAACCAGATCTGGCACAACTGTTGTGTTACAGTTAATTTTCAAGGACCTTTGTCCTATGAAGAATAAGTTGCTGAGAGGATCAACAGCCCCAGCAACCAACAAAAATTATACATTTGAATGTAATTATGAGCATTTTTTCAAAGATGTACATGTTGTATATTTTTATATATAAATTTTGTGGTTCAGTGTAACAGAAATGAGCAATAATCCAACAGAAAGTAACACTTAATGTAATATAAATGTATTTACCTGTAATTATTTAATCAGAATGTGTGAAAATAAACCTTCAGATGAGATGATTTGTCAATTAATTAATTGGTGAATAGGTTGCTGAGAGGATCAACAGCAAATGATAAATTTGAATGTGAACATATTGACCAAGTAGTTTTGAGCATTTTTTTTCAAAGATGTACATGTTGTGTATTTTTATATATAAATGTTGTGGTTCAGTGTAACAGAAATGAAATCTAACACAAAGTAACCTGTAATTATTTCATCAGAATGTGTGAAATTTTACCTTCCGATAAGATGCTTTGTCAATAAATTAATTGGTGCCCAGATCAGTACTGCTATGCATGTCAGTTATGTTACCTCATAATAAATTATAATGGTCAACTTACTTTGAATCCTTTACTTTCCTTGAAATGAACCAACAACAACTGATTAAACAACTGATTTATTGAATCAATTCACCACACTTCACAGTCAGTAGGTAAGTGGGAGCATCATCATTTTGGGCCTTGTGTGCCATGAGCAAGGTGTTATGCTGTAGACAGGTAGATGAACATGAACTGATTCGATAAACATCAACATTTTGATTTTATACTGTGCAAAGATGAAAATCAACTAATTAATTAGTTAATATGTAAAATATAAAATGAGTAAAAACAAAAGATTAATTAAAATTATTCACAGTAAATTACATCAGACATCTATTGAGAGTCCTAAACAATTCAGTGTGATTCCAAGTAAACATTCATGTATGTGTTGTAGTAGAAAAGGTCTAATTTGTCCTTCATTTTGATTATGAATGAATCATCTTGCCAAATTCTTTCAACAGACAAACTTATCTGTGTGTCTGTGACAAAGTCACACCACTCTAGGCTGGTTACTGCTAACTGTCCCAAGCCTCAGACTGACAGAGCCATTTTCCCTTTTAAGGTGAGCAACCTGCGAAGCATCGTGTTCAGTGGTGCTGTTCACTTCAACAAGTCCAAATGGTGGTGACTCTGAAGGATCATACACCCTACCATCTGGACTTGCCCCGAGATGTGGTGCTTCTGGGTGAATGACAAATCCAGCAGGGAGCACATTAACTCGCATTACTTCAGCATAACTTTCCAGGACCTCTGACTCCATTAGGAGACCCGCTTCATTGCAGCAGTTTGCTTTTTGGAGCCTCTTATCATTTGGACAGCGAGGGCCTTTGCTGCAGACTCTGGGTCCACACTTCCCTCCCAGGAAGAGCAGGCCTCTCGAAAGCGACTGGCAGTTAACCGTGGTTGACGTAACTGTGCCCATGCAGGACATTTTGACTGCTGCCTGGTTCCCTTCTCAATTTCACTGGTCATTTGTGGTGACACTTGGAGTGACTGGAGGTGCATGAGCTGATGCAACGTTGGAACAAAGTGCAAGTTGGAAAAAGTATGCTGCATAAAAGGAAGACCCAGGAATTCAGGAGCCAAGTGGTGCAGGATAAGGTCACTGGACTTTTCAGGTGGGCAATGATATGACAGCGGGGATCCTTGTGGGACAGGCCCAAATTTAGATGGAGTCAGCTCTATCTCAGACATGCCATCTAATACGAGAGCAATGAGAGGCTGGGGTTGCTCCTGGCGTAGCTTGGCTCCAGATGCCATCATATCAGGGTCAGGAAATGGTCCTAAAGAAGAAAAAAAGGGAGAGTTAGGCAAGTGCTACTGTTGGCAAGTACTCAAATTTGCAGCCTGTCTAATCAACTACTGCTCTAAATTTATATGTACTCTAATAACAACTCTCTTTCTGCTCCTGTTTAATGGCTTTGTAATAGAAGCTATTTTCTAACCATAATAATTGTTCTATGAAAGTTTTGTGACACTGAAATGCTGCCATATAACATTTCATTAGGGGGTTGACAAATAGTAAGTCATAACCATTGAAATCAGCATCATAGTTTCAAAGCAACATTAAAATGACTATAAATTATCACCTGAATATGCCTGGTACAATGTGGAGCTAAGACCACTCTTGCCCACCTTCTTTGGCTTTTGCACCACCACGTCATTCACAGGTTCAGGATGGATTCCCTTAAAATTTAGAATAAAATGTGATCACTTTTGCAGGATGTGCTATGACTGTGTGTGTGTGGATCAGTACTTAAACACCTGTCCTTAAATAATGTGAAAACAAAGTAAATACACAACATGATCATGAAAATAACGCTCTAAATGAAAATATTCTACTCTTGATTTCACTTATCTTACACCCACCTGTGTTCTTGGTCTATGCCAGCGTTGTAAATCACTTGTGCAGGCCAGGGGTGGTGGAACAGTCGGCAAACTGAGCTGTGAATAGTGTGCAGTCTGGTAAAGGAGGGCTACTACGTGGTTGCAGAAGCCTTTTCCAGCTACGCAGCTTCAGGAATAAGCCATCAAACTTCCACTGTCAGTGGCCATTGATATCTACACACAACAAAAGATAATAATTATATATAATATCATAACATTGCATCAGTGTCACCAGTAACATGAAGTAAAAGCCTATAGAGAGAGATGAAATAGAAGTATGGAAAGAGATGAAAGAAAAAGAGCTAAGTCAAGGCTGTGACTTTTGCTGGATAATATATTTTGTCCCTCTCTAATCAAATAACATAAAACGCAGCACTCCTGGGGGCTAGCAAGGCCACACAAACAAACAAGAGTGTGTGTGAACTTTTCCACACTTCTAGCTGTGTAAGAACTTCGTAGAAAGAGCCGCAACTGCAGCAAGTGCACAGAAGTACTGCAACGGCAGCAAGAACAGTAGGAAGCAATAAGAACCTGGAGCTTATGCCAACTGGCAACTGGCACTCTCTATGGTCAAACCTCTAGTTTGTGAGGCTCCTCGTTCTTCTTCATGGATTTTAAGCATCTAGCCCTCATAAAAACCTGCCCATCTAGTACATTTGATACTATGATCACACACAAACACACACGTAAGGGAAAAATGTTAGCTACATTAGCATTCGGCTAATATTATTGTCGCTACGTAGAAGACGTTCACTTTGACAACCATCAACACAACAATCTGATGCCATATTGCTTCACTCAAAACAGAGTATGATGCTTTAGTATGGTCGGCTATATCCTCTTATACTTTACATAAACTATGTCTTACAGTAGACGCGCTAATGATTTGTCATTGTAGCTGTAACAGTTCAACCGATATCTCTCTACTTAATACCTTGATAACTGTGGACAAATTCCTCGTGGAAAAATTTGTAACCCTTGTTCAACTTGTTGCCTTTTGTGCTTGAATGTGCCTCCACACTTTTAATGACATCTGAAAAAGAAAACTTAGGTAGAACTTCTATGTTTGTCGAGTAGACTCTGCCGGTGTTGTGTCCCTACTGGTTTCCAATTTAACTGGTTTCCTTACCGAACAGCTGCAGATGTGCTTCACCTCCGTCAGCAGATTCATCACAAATTCACAAACATACACAACATATTACTGGCGATCTTAAAGTCGCAGCCCACATCTACCACAGTGAATATGCTTCTGTCAGTGAGCACTACGTACCAGCGACATTAAAAATGGTACCCTCGGCTTGCCTTCAAAGTACCCACACATATAATGTTTCTTGTTCTTTTTCCACGAGTCTACAAACATATTCTGTGCCACATTACAGTCTGCACAACACTGCACACTGACAAAGCCTGTCATGTTTAAAAAGTGACGATCTAAGTCGCTCACTGCGTACCTGTAGAGACAGAGATAACAGCATGACGTCACCTCTCTCGGACCATGGCGACATTTCTTTTAGTGTGCGTCCATAATTGTGAGTTTGTTCTTAGAGCTCATATGTCTCCATCAGAGCTAGCTGCCAGGTTGTCATACAGTGTAATACTATTATTATTGTGTCATGGTAGTTAACGCTTATACAATTCCGTTTGCTTTTTTAAAATTTCGGCCGACTTTTTTTTTTTTT